CAATTAGAGCCTTCCCGTTGTCCGTCCGTGGAGGCTGAATAGTACGCTTCTTGCCTCTCACTCGTTGAGAACATTTCTGCAGCAAACAACGTCACGCTCTTTGTTCTGTCCGAGATAGTGTCCCTCTTGCGCTCGACAAGCATTCTCGAAGCATTGCATGTTAAAACTACTACCTTCAAAAGTCGATTAATAATGTTTTTCTTCTCTCGGATTCTTTCACGAAACCAGATCCGAGTTGTAATTAAAACTTGAATAAAAAATACTTAATGGACACTCTTGGGTTTACGAGAAGATCTTTGGGAATTGTTTCTTCAATATATAGTTGACAGTTTAATTTAGTAAATAAAAAGCTGTTTGCCTAAAGTTTATTTCTCATGATTTCTGATGGATGTGTTTTACATCAAAGTTTTTTTTTTTAATTAGTGCAATGGAAGACAGTCAATTTGCGGAACTGTAAATTTCATCGTACTTTTACGTAATTTCTCTTTCTCTTTCTCTATTTAATTTAATTCTTACAAGACAAAAAGTAAACAAAAGGGAATGCTGTGCCTTGACAATACGAGCGTAATTAGAGTATAAAGTTGGCCAAACTTACCAACATTGATATATATATATAGTAGTCATTAATTTCTTAGAAGATTATATATTTATTTAAGTACTAAAATTTATTTATATTAGCTTTTAAATTAATAATAAGATATTGATATAATAAAAAAATATATGTGAATGATATATTGCAACATAAATAAAATAATTGATTAAACAATAAAATCATCTATATATTTCGATGATATATATATATAGATGAAAGAAGAAAGTTTATTTAAACAACACAGAATCTGTTTGAGTGTATTTTTATTTATTTACATTCAGAAAATTATTGGCATAGCTTGCGTTGCAGGATGCAGCAGCCCCTATAAGTAAATCGGAGTAAATGTCGAATAAACAAGCGGGTGTGGTCAATCTCTTGTTGGTCCAGAACTGGGTCAAGATCAAACGCAGGGCGCCAAGATGTATGATGAATGATTGAAAAAATATCCCGCGGCCAACCGTGAATTAAATGGCAGTGTGATATCGCGAATTGTGTAATCAATTTGAAGTAGCTATTTGAACGCGATATCTAGGAATATCGGGACATTCAAACGTTGATACCAGGATGCGATTAAGATTTCTGGGATATATTTTTTTTATATTTTTCCCTCTCTCGATTTTTGTATCCCTCTAAGTGGCAAAATATGTTGCAATCAATTGACTTATCATTTATACAACTTTTTTCGCTTTTATTGTTTATCTCTCGAATAAGTTATAAATTATTGTTTATCTGCTTACACTTTTACTTCTATACAGATACTCCGTAAATTTTACGACCGTTATCATTATTATCAATCATAATCTTGTCATCCCTGAAGATAATAAAAATTTATATTAACAAATTTGTGATGAAAGCACTTGTCAGAATGTCGTGAAATTTATTGTATAAATGTTATAACAAATATACTTATTTCAGTGAGTTCATGTATTATTGTCATACTTTTCAAACTAAAATCAAAACGAGAGAAAATGTATCTTTTTAAATTTGCAAAGAGACGAACTTATAAGATCACAAATAATACAGGCAAATGTCTTCCCTTTTATAAATCAATCGATGATATTTCTTGCTCAACAATAATTTCAATGAAATTATCGATATATTTCTTATTGATATTGATGTTATTATATCTTACTTTGTTTTATCATTCTTGGATGTACTACTATCAAATTGATTAACTTAGTTTAGATTATCTCGTTAAAGTAAATTTACACGATGTGATTTTAAAAGCTCTCGATGTACAAGTTTAAGAATATCTAAAAAACAAAGATTATACAAAAAACTACAACAACGCGAGATGTGATCCTAAAAATATTAAAAATTTTTGAAATTTATCTACATATACGATCAAAGTTTAATCTACTATCATTAATTGTTTATCTTATACTCAGTAAAAATTCATAGTATATCTTAAAATATTTGATTATCTAAACTTTGTAATTGTGCTTTACAGTGTTAGAGTTTCTTACATTTTTCTTAAATAACTTTGTTTCAAAATGTAGTATTTTCGAATATCTCTGTGTCTCTCTCTCTCTCTCTCTCTTAACTTTTCTTCAATTACATTGTGAAAAATTGTTTATAACAAATTCTTTTCACAGCCTGATATAATTTCAAGTTACATGATTTTATACTTCAGATTTGATCTCTTTAGAATGAAAAGAACCATTCAATCAGAATACATTAACGTAAAGATACAGTAATTTAAAATACACCGAACCTATGAATACAAGTAAAAGTTAAGAAAATTCTGGAGCAAATACCAATTAGTATTAAACTCGATATACTAAATAGTTAATTTTAAACTTAATTTACTCAAGTTTTTACTCGACGAGATTATTGAATTTTGTACAATCTTCCATTCTGAGCGCAGAGAACAGACAGTCTACAAAGCAATTTAATTTTTTTAGCGTCTAGAGTCTTTTTAGAAGCGCAATAAATATTTAACAACTCGTGTTTATATTGCACACTTTGCGCTACACAACCACATATATCTAAACTTAAATTAAAGCTGCTCGTAACCTCCGTGAAAAAGAGATAAGTATACTAAAATAGGCAGGTATATCGTTAAAAACGTGTCATGTTACTATTTCTACGTTTGAAAACACCCTGGATCCATAAGAGACGTTGGAGAAACATTTATAAAATTTGAACGACGTTGCCTCTCTTTTTGGTATTTTCATGTAATTTTATGAAAAAAATAACTGCTATCCGAGTTGGATCATAGAATCCTGCAAACGGACGATCGCGATCAAGTATAGATTTCCTCCGGTCTCGAAACGAGAATCAGGATCGATCAGATTTCGTGCGTATCCTCTCGTACACGCGTTCGTCGCGACTCGGGGTGGGGGATGCGCCGCGAAAGAGAGACAGTCGTGCGAGGCGGGCAATGCGGCACGCGTATAAATACAAGCGGTCGCGTTCGCTCGCGCTTAGTTGCTACGATACTCGATTCACACGTGGCTGCCGTTGATCGAGCTCGTCCTCGATCCATGCTAGCTAAAAGTCTCGTCCGACGTTTTCCCGCGTATTCCGTATATACACTCTCGGCGTGTTTTGCGTGCGTGCGTGCAGTTTGATAACGAGAGCGAGTCGAAGGGAAAATAAAGAGGACGCGAGAAAGAGAGCGGCGGCTCTTCCTCGCCCTCGACTCCGATTAATCCAGCAGTGTCTTAATCGCGCGTGCGAGAGCGACGCACAAAGAAGGGAATATATTTAACTGGCAGGATATAAAGGGAGAAGGAAAGGGAGAAAGGTCTTATGTCTGTCCTCGAGAAGCTCGTCCTCTCGCATTTTCGTCGTCGGGCGGTGATGCGAAACAACGGAGTCTCGTCCCTGCCGCCCCCGGCAGGCGAGGGCTGGTCGAGGTAAAGAAACGGAACGAACGTAGTCACGAGAATCGGCCGGACTCGCTAATATAGGAAAATATCTCTATTTTTCGGAGAACTGAAAAACGGAGGCGTTTCGTGCCAGGTACAGAGGATTAAATAAATAATAAATAAATAAACGCGCGCGCGGATCTCTCCCCAGGTGGGTCAACGATCGACGCGGATCCCAACCGCGTTCTCCTCTCCACGGGGCGTATCCGCCGATCAAGAGCACACGTACGCATTGGCGTACTCCTACGTAGGTAGCACGCGTTTCACGAGAGTGACCGCGTCGACGGCGTCGTCGGCGCCGGGAGTGAAAAGGCGGTCGACCGTTTAGCTGCTTTCACCTGACGGGCCGCGCCGCGCCGCGCCGCGCCGCGCCGCCGGTGGAATAATGCCGTTGATCGCGCTTTAACGCTCCGTCGTGTCGCCGTACCTTCGTCTCTTATCTGTGTGAGAAACGACAGCTGTACGTCATCGATAACCGTCGCCGGATAACGTTTCTTCACCGCAAGATCGTCTTCGTTTGATTAAAGGCGATAAGCTCGTCGAATTTATTAGTGCAACCGGCGAGAAATGTACGATCTTATCGTATAATCTGGATCGAATATCACGCAAGCCAAGTCAACAAACGTCACGAGAGAGAATCTCTATTCCCTCTGCGACGCTTTGGAATTCGTGGACACACCGCAGCGTAACCCTCGACGATTTCGACAGTGTATAATATTAAATAGACTGCGGCGGAAGATCGTGGCACTCGTGAATGCTTGGAATCTGTGGGATCCGGTGGATATGATGGATACACTCAATCCGTAAATACTTAATCGTGAATGTCGTACTTTTCGACGGCTTGTCTCCTATAAATTATTATTACGTTCTTCATCTCTTAATTGCCTGTCGTTTGTAATTTAGTGGCGGAGGATGACAAAGTAACGTTTACACTCTGTACATTAGTGGAAAAGACAAGTTTAAAATTTTACTCTTTCGACGTGTGTTTAATTAAACGAGTTTTAAATTAATTTGACCTAATCATTCGTGTGTTGGTCTCCTTCTACCATTATTTATAAATTATTCGGTCAACGCCGTTGACTCGTCGGTGGTTCCTCATTTCGTAGGATTAACGAATGTATTTTGTACGCCATCTGACCCTAAAGGATGTCTCTGGTGTGAGATATTAACGACGATGTGAGATTTTAGCCTCGTTCGATCTTCAACGACCTTGCTTCTGTAAGACGTTAACCCGACATTAGCGGTATCAACGAAGAGCCAACGGTCTTTCGCAACGGTCTCCCCTCGGTACCATAACCAATAAGTACTTAATCTAGACGCGAGCTGACCCTTGGTGACCTCGATACAAGATACTAACACGACATTTCCGACGCTTTCCTGCGCGATGCGCATTACGCGACTGTAAACCGCTCGTCGTATGGACGTGGCCATTCCAGTTAGCATGGAAACAGCCAAGATGTATATCAGCGAACCGCAGAACGGTCATCCGACCACTAAGTACGCTTCGACCAACTCCATCCCTGCGATGATGGAGCAGGAGTCATCGCTGGCAAGGATCCTCGGCACCGTTGGAAGGCAGCGTGAGAACGCAGCGATCTTGCGGGACACAAAGGCTCGCCGGCACAGCGTTCTGGAGGATCTGAAAGCTCGACGAGACAGCTTGTTCCAAAGGGCTCGTAGGGTCAGCATGTTCGAGGAGAAGGAGAATAGCGCCAAGGACACTATTAAGGACAACATCAAGATCGACGTTAAGGATAGCAGCGCGACGAAGGAGAAGGCAAAGGACAAAAGGAGAGGTAGCGACAGTGGCAGGAGAGGCTCGGTGTTTTACGTGTCCGAGGATCTGCTGGAGGAGAATCAGGAAGTATTGGAGAACGAAGACCGCGACCGTATGGTTCAGGAGGCGAAGAAGGCACGCCGGAAATCCTGGCATCCACTCGTCAAGCCACCCAAGCTGGATCGCAAAAGGAGGAAGGGTGTGTCTGGCGCTCCTTCGGAGATTGGCAGCACTGAGGGACTTTTTTCGCAAAGTTATCCGCGACAGAAGAGGCCATCCTGGTGGAACATTTTCGTACCGGAGTCAGTCTCCAGGTATTTATTGCGATTGCTGCGCGCGAACGGAATGCTCGTTATTTTATGAATAATCACGTACTCATAGCAATCCTCTGAGTGAATTCAGAAAATTCAATTTTTGGAAGACTAATTAAGACAAGCGAAAATGAGACACATAAATTTTCAGCGAAGTCTTATCGAAATACACAACTATAACTGAATGAATCACGCATGAATTCAGTAATGTCATAAATATATGATAATATTTTCGTTACAAAAAACGCATCGTGCTCTTAGTAACATCGTACATCAAATAAGAGAGAGAAAGAATTTGCGACGCGACTGGGAACATAAATTTTGGCATAATTCGTTTCATATTTATGTCTTTTAATTATTTGGCAAATAAATTTCACTGATAATCATTTCGAGCGACTTATTCGTACATCAATTGCAGTTAATAAACATTAAGCGATCAGTGCGGAGTCGTAAAGACGTGTTTCACACTGCTCGAAAAAAACTTGCGCGATGAAATATAAATAAACGATACTTTAACGCCATAATGATCGGTATATGCAATAATTTCCAAATATCAATACCCAATTTGCAGTAACTTTCGTAATGATATATGTATGTATTCATGTTTCTGACTGACCTCCAGTATACAGACAAAAATTACGATTGAGATAACGAGAGAGAGAGAGAGAGAGAGAGAAAGAGAGAGGGGAGGGGGGTGTAATGTGGATATTTCATTAATTCTGGGTAATGTCCAATATTTCGATAAAAATTACGCCTTCCAACGTTTCGATGCCTTCAACTATTGACCATTTTCACCTATCATGTCACGTAATGTTAAACTTTTGTGACATGATAGTTAATTTGTATCACCAAATGATTTTGAGCATTATAATATGCAGTTAATTGTAATAATAATATATTGCAATGAATGATTTTATATATGTATATAAATTATTATTACATGAATATAAATAGTTCGTGAAGACATGCTGTTTGTCTTAGATCGTTATCAATCTGTTAATATGTGTGTTAATATATAGCCCGACACGTGGACTCGATTTTGGGTGAAAAGTCTCGAATAAACACGTGCCGTTTAGGTAAATATTTTGGGATGTCGACGGCATTTGAAATCATCTGGGCTCGCGGAAATCTTTTGTCGTTCACCAGACAAGAAACATTATCGTTTTAGATAACGATTCTTTGTAATGGTCACAGTATTTTGCGAAAATAATGATAATTCCTTGTCGATATGAAGCATATATGTATAAATGAGATTTTGAAAGCATCAATAAAAATAATTTTAGCCGACGAACAAAGAGCTTTGAACTCATACATAATAATATATAAACAGTTAAATTTCGCCTTTTATCGAGACTTTATTTGAAATTTAAGTAAAAATATCTAACCGTGGTGGTTTATTTTTTCCACAAAATACAGTCTTTTTGACAGAAGAGACTGGGCAAAGAACTTGTTTACTCTACGTTTCAGAATGAAAAATATTGTTGGTGAAAACAACGGATTTCAAGCAAGAAACATGACAGGGAAATTAAATGCGGAACAAAAATAAATAAGATTATTGTGAGTTCGATTTAGTTCAAGATTAAATTCAGACGTCATCTTGTTTTCACTGTATATTCCAGCTGGAAGTAATGTGACATTTTATAAAGATTTTGAGGGAAATGAAATTTTCGATACTTTAATATTTGCTCAAACAATATTTCCGAGAACATTTTATGAAAGTCCCTCGTTGCATTACAATCTCGCGATTTCTCTACGAAAGACTTATTCGCGGAAGTCATCGCGAAAAATCAGCATTCGCTTGTCCCCTTCACAATTCGCCATAAAATCTTATCCAAGCTGGCGGAACCGGACGATTCCGATGAACGTGCTTAGTGAGTAATGTAGAAAGTTTCGATCTTAATTGCGTTATGTAATTCACGTGCGTGATTGATTTCCTGAGTTATCGCGAATCTCGAAAAATAGATATTATCTAAAAAGATAATCGTTTCATTCGTTGAACTAATTGCAGAATTTCTTTCAAGTGCAAAGAAGTGGTGCAAATCATCCACTATTTTTAAAGAGGCTATTAATCGGAATGATTGATTTTTCTTATACATTTTCAATTTTATGTGATTATCTTTCTGCTCTTAAAAACAAATTTAATTGCTGCTTAACTGCTGTGCTGGAAATCATGTATTCTTTTTTAATTATAATATAATCGTGAGTAATTAAAAAAAAATTAATTTATTGTTCATAAAAGTCATGCATAAAGCTATGCATTTATAATATAAATTTTAACATTTTTCGCTTATTGTGTATCTTTAAACTCGTGCTACAAAGTGTTCTTAAGCTGTTACTTGGAAACGTTAAAGTCTAAAAACATAATATTTTAATATGAAATGATTTAATTTCCGAAAAGACTAAATATTCTGCTTCTAGGCTTTAGCATTTTTAAGTAGAAATTTCAAAGTCGAAACCGGAAACATTACTCAGGTTTAAATCTTTCATCACTCGTGCTTTAAACTGTCAACACTATGAGTCTATGTATTAACATCGTCTGATATTAATGTTTGCATTATTTAATCAACGTAACTTGCTGATAACTTTCGTTATATGTCATCTCGTGCGATTAGTTATACGAATCTCACTGTCAGCGTTATCGTTGTTAAATATTAACGGCAAAAGATGAATTCGAACTTTGAAAGTATGGTCGGTTTCTTCGTTGCTAACTTCATTGAAACGAACGAAATTTAGAAAAATATTCGCTGCTAGGTATAATATTATAAAAAAAAATGTTTCAAAATCGTTGTTTAAAAAAAAGATGTTTTTGTTTTTTTAACGACATTTTTCTCAAACTGGTAGGCAAATTTTGGTATCGAATTCAATAAGCAAAAATACAATACATCGGAATAGATTTTATACATAAAAAAATGAAAAATCAAATTTTGTAGGACAGTATAATTACAGCATTAAAAGTTAACAAAAAGTTATTTAAAATATTTCAAATACTTTATACATATATATGTATATGTTGCAACTTGCATGAAGGATTAAGTATTTCTGTCACTATTGTATTAGACACAAAGGAACATTAATCTCGATTATTCAACGTATTTCTTTTTCTTCGTTCAATTTCGTACACGAATAAAACTCAAATATATCGTGTTTGGAAAAATTTTGGGTCGTCAAGACGGATTACTCGAAACAGGGATGTAGGCAAGCCTCTTTATGACTCGCACAAACCGGTCGCGAGGTCTTAAAATAGCCCTCTCTGTCATTAGGTGTCTTTTTCTTCGCGATCTCTCTTCGTGTCTCTCCTTTTTTCAGATACAAACTATATCAAGTTATGTCAGATATCAGTACTTTTTACTAATTACATTGTTTTTTTTATATACAAATACATTAAAAATGCGGAAATACCAAAAGAGACAATGCCTCGGAAGTGGTTATACTGGTTTCGGAAGATTTTGGATTATATCATTTTCATTAGATGAAAGGAACTGTATTTTATGTTATATGTGTGTATACATACATATATATATATATATAAAATGTTTATTTTATAATATACAAAATGTATTTTTATCTACATTTTACAAAATTCATCATTTTAATTAAAACTACCACTGAAACATTCTGTTGTAATAAGAATAATTTAATTGGATGGCTATATTTGGAGAAATAATGTAATCTCGATATGTTAAATTACTAAATTATTAAAAGGTAAATAAAATGCAAATCATGTCTCGAGAAATGCGTACTTTCACCACCGCGTCTCCTGATAGTCAAAAACGTTGCAAGTGCATCGCATATTCGTGTAGTAATTATTTGTACACAAAAGCGTGTGTACAGTGAGAACCTTGAAGGCAGATGTTACACCTGATTCAAGTACATCGCGATTCAAGTACATCGCGACCTTACATAATTTGCAAGCCTTTTCTACCGCATCTTATCGACCGACACGAAATTACTGGATGTCATGTCCCGTCCGTATTTATAGGAAAGATTTTGCATAATCGTGTTTGTACAGCTATTACTTTCCTTCCTTTAGTGTTTTTAGACGTGTAGCGGCAGTTATGCATTCTACTTGGCGACCTTATTGCGTCTTAACCACGCGTTATGCAAACTAGGACAACGATTATTGTCACTAGGAGTCTCGGGTGTTATTTCTGATGAAGCGAGAATGAGAAATACGTCTGAGTAAAAATACGCGATATCTTGTGGTACTTGTGTAAAATTTTGACACCAAATTTTTCTAATGACATTTCGAAATGTTTCGATTGTTTCCTCAACAAAATCGTAATTGGAAAATACTTTTATACAACTTTGCATAACAAAGTTTTAATGTAAAATGTTATGACTGAAATGAGATTTTTAACTTAAAATAAGATTTTAACTTAGAGTTTATATGAGATTAACGGAAGGAGATAGTTTTGGTATCCCCTTGTGTTTTAGTCTAACTTAGTCCGACAAAGATTGTGCGAAAAATGTTTGTTATGAATATTTATTGATATTTAATTGGACAGAGAGAGAGAGAGAGGGAGGGAGAATGCGTGCGAGACTGGTTTTAACTACACTTCTACACATAATTAATTCATAACTGTACATAAAACCGTAGAATTGCTTATTAGAATTTAATATTATAATTTTCAAATTAAAAAAAAATACGCACCTGCTTCCTTTTGAAATAAACATATTTATTTAATTAAACAGGAGAAAGTATATGTATGCACTGTTATATATATTATATCAAATTATTTCCAATTTGAGTTATTTCTAATCATTTATATAGGTCGCCACTGCTTGTATTCAATATGTCGTTAATTTACTAAACTAAAACAATGAAGTTAAACTATGTGTGTTAATATGTACGTTGTTTACTTTGAAATTAACTACAGAAACGAATTGATTTTTCGTTTTATTGACATTCATGGAAGTTAAAAATAATATAATATTATTTTCAACTCAAAAGATTAAGTTGCCTTTAATGTCTAATAATGTGTGGCACTTAAAAAAAGAACTTT